AAATAAATGAATAACAATATAATGATAAATATAACTTAACAGTATAATTAATATCTTTTAGGATTTTTGTGATTATCAAAATGGAGTGAGAAGAGGTGAGAGATAAATCTATACTATGGAAAGATTATACAACTTCTTTAGGACTCGATTCTAGGATAGACCAGATAATAATTAAAAAAGTTTAAATGATTTTTTAGATTTATATTAAATATATTTACTTATTTAGAATTAAGGCACACTTATAGAAGAAATCGTAATTTGCTTATTACAAGACAAATATAAAACATAAAGCAAAACTGTAATGAGCCTGTGAAGCAAAACTAAAATAAATGACAAAATCGCGATATGCTTATAAGACAATAAAAATTTCAGTTTTTTTTCTTATTATTTGTTTAATTTCATTTTTTTTTTGTATTGTTCATTTTTCTTTTCATATCATATGTTTAATTTCGTTTTCTTTTTCATTTTTTTATTTTGTTTTATTTTCTTAATTTCATTTTAAAGTTTCTTTTATTTCTTAATTTTGTTTTATAGTTTCTTTTCATTTATTTAATTTCATTTTTTCATTTCATCTTGTTCACTTAATTTCGTTATAGTTTCATTTCAGTTTCTTAATTTCATTTTTCATCTCATTTAGTTTTCTTTTCGTTTCATTTTTATTTTTTATTTTTTTTTATTTTATTTTATTTTTATTTTTTTTAAAAAAAAATTTAAGTAAATTAATAAAACTGTTATACAATGATTAACAGATTGCATGTTAAAATAAAATGACTAAAATTTACAAAATAACGTGAAAATATTTTTGGAAAAAATATATCATAGTAAAATTATATTTGTGTAATGAAATCAGTAATCATCTACTACTATAACAAATAATTCATTATAGTATTAACGAAGATTCTTATAACAAAGTTCTGATCAACTAGATTAGTAATTTCATTATATCGAGGTATAACTGTATTATACTTTTTATTTTCTTTTCAAATATTTATATATTTTTACATTAAATTTTCACATTTTAGTTTTGGATTACATAGTGTAGCTTATTTGTAATATGCATATGCATTACAAAATTCTTGATATAAATCCTGAAGTGGTTTATAAAAAAATCTTTGTTAAAGTTTAGTATCTTCAAAAAGCTTTACATATTGATTTTTTTTAAAAGAATATAAAGAATATAAGAATGTAAAAATGTGATTTTTATAATAGATTTTAATAGATTTGTAAAATTATTACCACATTAGGCTAATAATAAATATTATTTCAATTCTGTTAGAAGTTTTTTTTAGCAAAAAAAATTATTGATCAAAGAAAAGTTTATTTATTATTTTATTTATTATTTATTTTTATTTATTTAACTATTATTTATTATTTAACTATTATTTTAATTTATTTCATGATAGAGATCATCATAGTAAATTACTATTACTACTAAGTTCTTACTAAAAAAAATACATCTTTAGAGTTTTTTTTAGAACTCTGATATTTAGTGACCCGTCACCATGATGACCCCTATCACGTGATTTAATTATATCATATGATTTATATATTTTCTGATTGGACAATAAATTTTATATAAGCGGTAAAATAATACCTATATTCTTTTAATTTAAACTTATAATACTTATAATATTTATTCAGTTTTACGTTTTTTTCAATAGTATCACAAGGATAATCCTAATCAGAGATTATTTAAAATTCAATGAATAATATTAAAGCCATATTACTAATTTTATTATTTGATTACAAAAAAAAAAAAAAAAATTTCAGATATATAAAGCCTTTGAATTTTTGCCTTCAATATTATTCCTTTTGGCTATACAAATAAATATAATAATATAGTTAAAGGATTTTCAATCACAATCTGATCTAACTAATTTAAATGATAAAACTTACTTTTTATCGTCAATGTTCTTTTATTAGCATTAGTATTTAATTATTCTTGTTCTTTATAAGTCTTACTGTTATATCCCCTTTGTTTACATAATTTGCATTTATATTGAATTTTAATACTAGATTGCTCTAAGGAACTTTTAACCCTCTTGGATTTGAGACAACCCTTTGGCCTTCGTTCAACTAGATTTCGAACACTCATAATATCAATATTATCACCATAATCAATACTACTATTATTGCTATTGCCATTATTGCTATTACCAATAATTTTTTGTTGTGATTTTTTTTGTAATGATAAAAAGACTTCAAGAAGTTCATGATAATTATTCTCATTATCATCTTCAATTACATCAACCATCAACTTCCTTTCTAATCCCCAAAGTTCGCCAAATTTACGTTTTTTTGAGATAGTTTTAAATATCTCATTATTATCTATAATAGTAGTAAGCCCAATATTAAACCCATTTGATGAATATAAAAATCGCGTTGGCAAAGAATTTGCTTTTAATATTGATACATTAAAGGGAGAGACTGAAACAAATGCATTATTTGATATATCGAATTCTTGTAATGTATTTTTATATTAATGTCGATTAATAAGTCTAATATGAAATCTTGTGGTAGGAGTAAGGGTCATTATATGATAAAAATGACAACATGGATAGCCGTGGGATTTATTAATCATACATGTACAGAGAAAAATCCTATCGTTTAAAAGATATATGAAATGTGATGTCTTTGAATTCGTTATATAAAAAATCTCCCAAATTTCGAGAATAATCGAAGTATTCTCCAAAAATAAACCCAATTGTATTTGTAGACAATCAAATAGATTTTAATATACTGGTCAGATTCATCAAATACCTAAATTTTAGTTTAGAAACTTATTTTAATTTCATAAGTGAAATCTTACTTCTGAGGCCAATTAGATCAGAAATACAATAATGAACAATTTGTCATAATCAAAAGATAATATATTACCTTCTCTTTAGAGAAAACAACTTCAGGTTCAACCTCCGTAGCATGATAATAAAGGCTTAGATTCATTTTTTCTTCTTATTTTTTCATAATATTTGGCATTACAAATTTCTTTAATTGTTGTACTACTGGTCCAAAAATGGTTTTTACTGTGTTTTGAGGTTCTACTTGTGGCATCATTTGTTTTCAGTTTATAAACTCGCAATAGTCACTTTCTTCTTGGTATCTTTCCTCTATTGCATCAAATAATTCATATAATGAAAGGTTTGCACTTCCGAAAAGCTGCTTCAACATTAAATTTTCGCCTTCATTACGAAAAGTGGACTGTGCCCTAGCAGTAAAATGTTGATTTATAAATGCACGTGCTCATGATTTAGGATTATTTCCTAAAGATCGCATTAAATAATCTTTTGCCTTTGGGTAATTTTGCAATAACATCTCCTATCTCTCATTAAATTGAGTTTTTGTTATTGTTTCTTGTCTTAAAAAGTCTTTCATAAAGTTACTAAAACTTGAACCAAGCTCCCCTTTAATCTTTTAGGTAATTCTGACTTATGTGCTATATACAATGTATATGATAAGCACTAGAGAATTCTGTTAAAATCGTACCTTCAACTGCTAGATTACCATCCGTAATAAATACTTTCAGAGATACGCCAGTTGCGTCTTTTACATATCGAAAGACCCACTCATATGAAAGTTAACTTTCATCGTCAATAATCGCTTGGGTCACAATTCTTGTTTTCAAATTATTGTTAGGGGTGACAAAGAGAGACAGTGAACGATTATAACAATTAGTTTTGCAAGTGTTATCATGCATTATTATATCATAGTAGTGCAACCATAAAATGTGTTGTTCAGGGCTCATCCAAAAAAAGATGAGTTAACGAGAAAGTGACTGGATTAAGCTTTATTGAAATTATCCAATGTGGGTCTTCCGTCTTTTTGTCATATAATCTTCTTAATAAAATTCCAGTGTCTGCTTTACCTAGTATCACTTCACGATGAAACTTACTAATGGCATTATATAAATCTTATCGAATTATTTTAATATTAAACTTTCCCTAATAATTCAATACTGAATTGTTGCATTTGCTTTAGCAACAACGGTTAAAAAATGAATCTCTTGAATGATTTTCTCTGATAATTTGCGTAATAATGGAACAAATTAAACTGCTGATGAATGAAATTTATGACCAATATGCTGATCATGCAAAATCATAACTTCCAAGTGGCCTTTACTTTTTTTGTTTCAAATATTTACTTTTCATGAGCACTTAACTCTATATGATGATGCATTTAAATGCTAATTTTCTGTAAGTGCCATCTGATTAAAATTTGCTTTTCCAGAATGTTAGCACAAATAAGTTCATTTTAATACTTCTTTTGTTACTTTATCTATTCTCCCACTGCTGCTAATTCGTACTCTATGACTCTTAATAGTAGCGTACTTTTTCATAATTTTTGAAGCATAATTCCAATTTTGAAAAACTTTGCCAACAAAAAGTTTCGCATCCTCTTCTATATCTGCTTCTGTATCCGCAACCTTATCAGATGTACTATAAGATAAGATGATATGTTAGGTATACTTCCCAATTTATAATAGTAATACTCTAAACACTTATTGCTTACCTATTTACATCAGAGAAATCTTCTGCACTATTATATGTTAATAGTTCTTTAAACTCTTTGTCTTGAATATTCAGTAATGCTTCTGAGTCTTTATCCTAAATATTTAATTCTTCTTTTATATTTAAAAATGTATCTTATAGGAAAGCTAATAAGAGGTAAAAGGAAAAAAAACTGAATTGTATTCTTATTACAGGATAACAGGATTTTACATCAGATTATGGAAAATGGCTTTGAATTTAAGTATTTTTAAAAAAGTTATTGCTACAGTACAGTTTTTACATTAA